CATACAAGTTGCCCAGAAGATTGCCCCACTAGGGAGATCCCATTAACTAAGTAAAGTACTATCAATTAAATGGCAATTCTCCTATAGGGCCTAAGAACCATATGTTAAACCTGGCTCTACAGGATACAAAGCAGGAAACATAACATACACAAATAATAATAATAATAATAATAATTATAATAATAATAATAATAATAATAATAATAATAATACACGTCAATAACACATATAAAAATAAGTAAAATAACTAGAATTTAACGCAAGCAGAATTTTGGTCAAGATAGGGCTCAGTAGTTTATCAGCGCCACAATAGTCAATAAATTATCATTTTAGTGTCTAGATATAGTTGCAAATTTCTACGAAAATCAGTATAAATTGGTAAATCTTAAATTGTATTTTCATACGATACGCAAGGTCGTATTGTATTTTAGTTTTTCTCGTGTATATTGAAGATAAAAATAAAATAATCAAAATTCATGCTCGATTGTTAAAAAAAGGACGTCTTAAAATATATTCCATCAGCTGAACAATGAACACTAAAAGGTTAATAAAAGTTTAACTTGAATCAACTTCAAAATGTTGTGAAATACCGCTCATTAGGATCAGAGGCTCAGATATGATTTCAAATATTTATTAGAAATATTTACAATATTTTATTTCAATGATTCCCAACGTGGGGCGCATGTCACACCGGTGGGGCTAGGTAATATTTTGGTGGGGCATGTGTAGGATATGCACCCTTCGGCTTATTATACCAACATGAGCTCAAATTTCATTTTGCATTATTAATTCATGATTAAAATGATCAAAGTATATTACAGAATAAGCTTTCATTCAAATATTTTATATTTCTGCCTTTCAGTTCTCTTTTATATGTTTTGAAACTATATATATTTAACTGTCTTTTTGTTTTTTGATTTTTTTCTTTCATGGACGCCATGTTTTTTGGGGGCTTGTTTAGAGACCAAGTTATTGGCCTTTTAATCTTCCTTCATGTGAATTACAGTAAAATATGTAAGAATTAAATATTACAAGAGGCACCAGAATTTTAGAAATTCCAAAGTTAGGCATGGATCAAAATTGGTTGGGAACCATTGTTTTATTTAGACTTATCAGATTTTATTATGCAACTCAGATCATCAGACAGTAAATAAATATATGCTATAATAATTGATATGTGAGTCTGCGGTGAGTAATTACGTAGAAGTAAGCTAGTCAGAGTGGCACCTGGTGCAAAAGTGCAAAGGAAAATAAGTTCATTACCTCAATACGCGACACCTAGCAGCGACGTTTTCTTCCTTGAAAATGGCATGAATCTCCTCCCTCACACTTTAGATTTTGCCGGAAGTGTATGATTCTGTAATGTTGGCTTTTATACAGCTTAGCGGGGTTCGATCAATAGCAATTCGTGTGCTGGCTGTTCGGACTGAAGGATACCATTTGGCTGTGTGACTGAAGACGAAGCGTAGAAAGCTGATTGGTCAGTCGGCTGTGGTGTTAACATAATAAAAGAGGGCTGAAGCTGTGAGAAACAGGGCGATTTTTACGATGGTGACGTGTGCGAGAATTCAAGAACGACGTATTGAGAAGGAGCATTCGGTGTTTTACGAGCGGGGTCAGAGGAACATAGCCTCATTTAACTACAGAGTTGCTAACAAAGAAAGAAAGACAAATGACAGTAAGTCTTCATCATCATCATCATCATCATCAGCTGTAACAAAAGTGAAAAGCTTCATTGGCTTCATTAAGCGTGACAAACAGCAGTAGCACGCATTAGCAGTAAGGTTAGGTTTAAAGCTCCAAGTTCTCAAAAGAGAAATGTGGACAATGACATAATAGATAAAGTGTTGGTTCATAAATTTGGTGACATTGTCATTATGAGTTCAGTTCCTGGGCCAGGCAGTGCTTATTTGGACTCAGTGGAAACAGGCAAGGCGAGCAATAACTGAGCTAGTTCTCTAAAACAAGATGTCTTTAAATATGGGCAGTGGTACGAGAACAGACTAACCCCGTTGATTAGATAAAGGGTTCAGTTCGGAATTCCCTGTAGGTTAAACAGATCAATATACACGTAATGAAGGCCGGAGGGAACAACAACGATGTTGTGGGGTCAGTTTACCCAGATTTTAGGTGGACAAAATAAAATCTACAAATGCAACACAAATTATATCGTGTCCACAAATACAACACAAAATTATAAACAACGCAAAGAAATGATCTTTGCAGAAAAGGACCATGCTAAATATGACAGTAAAATTTATACAGTCAGCTACATGTATTTACATATTATAAATCAATGTTCTTTGTTGTGACCATTAAGATACCAATAGTTCGATTGTTGTTATATACCGTACCTATGAACAATAATGGGTATGTCCCAACCCTCATGAATACGTTGGACACTATTGTAAGCGGGGTTAATATCCTGTCTAAGTAGTGCATCACTAGCAGTGGTTTACCTACTTTAAGCCGCTGGCGAGTATTGTATTTTGTTGATGTTATAAAGATTACCATTTCATTTCCAACCTCTGTTTTGTTTGTTCCTCATTCATTAACCCTTTCTAGGTTACAAGCTAATATGTGTGTGTGTGTGTGTGTGTGTGTGTGTGTGTGTGTGTGTTAAGCACATGTTAATGAAACGTGTGTGACTACTGATTGATTGCGTGCGATAGCAGTAATTTTAAAACACAGTGAACAAAGGGAGAGGATAAAAGACACACATACGTCGTGGTGTTGTATGTAGAAAAGTCATCGCCGACACCCGCGTTGTCATGGTAACATGTGTCTAAGCTGCTGATCGAGGCTGGGCTGATTCACTGACTGTCTTTCGCCGACTGTCCTTCACTGACTGTCCTGTGGCAGATCTGTTCGCTGACTTTTACTAACCAGCCGTTCTATCGCTATGGACGGACCCGAATAACTATCTGAGATTTGCGCAGGAATGGAAGAGGTAACCCCAGCCCTGACCTATTTCCAGGTTTTTTGGAATTTAACTGCGCGGACGTAGTAGAGCGCACATCACGTAACTCGTCATATCCAATCAGGTTCCAGAAATCACTTATTAAATTTGTAGCCGTGTTTGTACAGAATTGTAAAAAGAAGTTCTTCGTATCTACAGAATTTAGTAAAAATTATTTGTAGGCGTTTCTTACTTGTTTATGCTTCACTTATTGGCCGTAGAATATAGGAGTTTATATCGTATAATGTGGCAATAGTCCGAATGTAAATTGTTTAAATGTTAATTTATATATATATATATATATTCTAATTTCAGATATATAAACACTGCCATGGGTCATAAGAAAGATACAATCTCAAAGGGGAAACAGGATCTTGTAAAATTATTGAATGATAAGAATGCAGCTTTGGAAATTCAAAACATCTGAACATAGAACAATCAAAAACAAATTGATAATAACACGTGAATAATAAAAATGGATTTCAGAATGTGCCAAAATGGATTTGATGAAAATTTAAACTTAAACAAGAAAAGTGGATTTACAAGCAAGAAAATATTTGTGCTGTGGATGTAAACATAGAGAAAAGATGTAGAATATGAAAAGATAGGCAAACTTGGATCTTCGTATCAGCAAAAACAGATTTGTCACCAGTTGACACCGTTATTATTTTAACAACGCTCATTCCTCATGAATGTTTATTGTTTACAAAAGCGAAATAAATAATGGAAATAAACAACCAGATAAATAAATAGTGTTTATCATTTTTGTTGTCAATTCTCAAGTACAAAATATATATATGTTGTAGAGTAGTTTTCACAGTGGAGGCTTGTATTTCACTAAGTCGTCCTAAATTAGGTTCGACGTACAAAACGTTAGGAACTTGAAATAAGAGTTAATGACGCAGCAATCTAGTTGTGATGGTTGATGGTTCGACTGACTCCCTCAACACCACTGAGCTCAACTGGCGACCGCTACTACTACTACTACTACTACTACTACTTATTATGTGTGGGAGAGTCTATTACAATAGAATAGGTAATGTTCTGGTATAACAATATATATATATATGAATTCACTTTTATATGTTTAGGTTTTATTACAGTTTTAATCATCGCTGAGTAGTAAAGATAGTTAAAATAAAAACGGTGTCAATGGAAAAACAGTCCTTTTGACACTTGATTTTTTTTTTGAGGACACGAGGGTTCAAGTTTGCCAAGAAAACTCTAAATTGGGAGAAGTGCAGGAAAATAAGTTTTTAAATGTAGAGCTACATTGGATGAACCTGCCTGCTTGGGTAGTGGCTGGGACCTTTATGGAAATAGTCAACTAACACGACTTTGCAGTAGGTTAGCTAGATGGGGACGGTCCGACACGGGCGGCTCCTTTATGAGTGCAGCGCTTGTGGGTCTGGCGTATAAACCTGCATAGGCTGTAGGGAAATAAAAATGGTTTCAAAGTCAGGACAATACTCACAGTTGGGGTAACTTAAAATATGGCATATGTATTTAAGCGATTGTTATCATGGCCCAACAATAAACATTATTCAGTGATGCATTCAGGTCTTTTTTTTAATCATTGGTCAATGTGAAATCTGTAAACGGACATAGAATGCATTTTTTAAATGCATTAATACTGCAGTGTGTGGGAGACACACCTTGGTTGTTATATAAATTTCAGTTATTTTCCTTGACAAAAATTTTTCATTTGAGAGTATGTGTTACTCTATTTTCCGTTTTTTGGGACTCCTAATAGTTTATATATATATATATATATATATATATATATATATATATATATATATGAGGATGTCACATACTCTAGCTACATCACTGCGACTTAGAAGACAAAAACAGGAAAGTGGAGTAATGTTTCGGTTTAGTATTGTCGACAGTAAAATTACACATCCCTTCACGTCAACCTGTGGTGTGGCTTTTAAATCACTTTCCAACCGGTATCACAAGGCCGATATTAAATCACCTGCTGAAAAAAATCAACCATATGAGAGATTCGAACATTGCACACATGGTCTGAACGTTAAAGTTCAAAACACTCGGCCACTCGACGTATTTTCACCTGTGCTTTTGACGGTCTGCATCTATCTATCTATCTATCTATCTATCTATCTTAGTTTCTAAGTTAGATTATCTATGTGTCTAATTATCAAAGTGACTCAGTGGGTTTATCTATCTATCTATCTATCTATCTATCTATCTATCTATCTATCTATCTTTGTTTTTAAGTTCGATTATCTGTCTATCTAATTATCAACGTGTTTCAGTATGCTTATCTATCTATCTATCTATCTATCTTAGTTTCTAAGTTCGATTTTCTGTCTATCAAAGTGTCTCAGTGGATCTATCTATCTATCTATCTATCTATCTATCTATCTATCTATCTATCTATCTTAGTTTCTCAGTTCTATTATCTATGTCTGCACATTAACTATTTATCTATCTTTTTTTTTTTTTTAAGATTATCTATGTAATTATCAAAGTGTTTCAGTATGCTTATCTATCTATCTATCTATCTATCTATCTATCTATCTATCTTAGTTTCTCAGTTCGATTATCTATCTAATTATCAAAGTGTCTCAGTTCGATTATCTATCTAATCTATCAAAGTATCTCATGGATCTATCTATCTATCTATCTTATTATCTATCGATTATCTATCTAATTATCTATCTATCTATCTATCTTAGTTTCTCAGTTCGATTATCTATGTCTGCACATTATCTATCTATCTATCTATCTATCTATCTATCTATCTATCTATCTATGGGTTCCCAGAATGCGTATCAATTTATCTATCGTTGTGTCTCAGTATGTATATCATATCTATCTATCTATCTATCTATCTATCTATCTATCTATCTATCTATCTATCTTATTCTGTTCAAATCTATCTCTGTGTTTGTTCATATCTATCTATCTATCTATCTATCTATCTATCTATCTATCTATCTATCTATCTATCTATCTATGTTAGTATGATAGTATCTATCACACTTATTCTCCAACTCATCTTCTAAATCTGAAGATACGGCTTTGTATCAATATCTGATTTTTTCCCCTCTCCTGTCAATTTTACTTCGCTCTTTCATTTCATGGTTGTGTGCGTGCGCACTTGCCACTGTGTGTGTGTGTGTGTGTGTGTGTATGTATGTGTAATCTCACAGATATGCTATACACGACTTTACTTCCGCACCATTCGTAATTCACAATTCCCGTCGCAACTTAGAGTTTAAAATGTAAACTTACTTCAGCCTCGTCTCTGTCTACCCGCCTCTTTCTCTTTGCCGCCTTCGTAAATATAAATAGTCATTGATTGATTTCTCTTCATCACCAATGGGTTGAAAGCCGTTCGTCCAGGAAATGTACACAGGTAGCCGTCGCCCAGTCGTGCTTTTCTATGCTTGATGTTTCTCTCGTTTCATGTAAATAAGAACGTTTGTTCCTTGTTCGTATTATTTAATCATTCTTTTTAAGTACAAAATAATATTCTTAAATCGTCCTCGCCATCAGCAGTATTGTTTCTGGACGCTAAAAGGATTCCACATTGTTTGGTTCGAGCAGAGAGACCTAGTTTTCGATTTGAAAAAAGAAAGGAAAAATCTTTTTTCTCACTGGAGTTATTCAACGAAACATGGATATGTTTTCAGTAGATATGTTGTCAACACTTGATTACAGATTTCACAAATGGTTATATAAGTCTGACAAGCGTGTCTATTAATATATATATATATATATATATATATATATATATATATATATATATATATATATATATATATATATATATATATATATTGTTTTAAAAATGACTGAGCGTGTTCTCTTTTTTTTAAAGGAACGTTTTACGCCGAACACTTTCGGAAATAAACACAAACATCCAAAAAGAAAATAATAATAATAATAATAATAATAATAATAATAATAAAACAACGAAACTGAAAAATACATCGAGGCTAAATAAGGAACAACGATATATATATATATATATATATATATATATATATATATATATATATATATATATATATATAATAATAATAATGTATTATTATCTAATTTATATTATATATAGTATATATACTAAATAATAAATATAATCATTATAATAATATATATAATATCGTATATATAATATATGTATATAATATATATTATATACATAATATAATAAATATAATATATATTATATCATACACACGCACACACACACATATATATATATATATATATATATATATATATATATATATATATATATATATATATATATATATATATATATATATATATATATATATATATATATATATATATATACATATATGTACATTTACTGCTCTCTTGATATCGATTTTCGCCTCATTTTAATACACAACTTTTCTTAGTGGCTGTCACTGTGGATGTATTTATTATGCTGAGCCACTTTTTATGCAATGACCTAAATTGTTTTCTATGTTCGACTTTGGATCTGGATCTAACCAAAAAAAAAAAAAAAAAAAAAAAAAACGGACCGGTTTTTGTATCGTGGCTTCAGTTTCTGTCTTTAAATCTGTACCAAGGAAATCTGGATAGATACAGTGGGAATATGAATTTCAATTTCATTAATCAATTTGTTGTTTAAGTTATGAAACCTACCTCACAGATTTCATCATTTGCTTTACAAACCTTCGACTAGATGTGGATCTCAACGATGAATAAGTCGTTGTTAGTTAATAATTTACCGCCAATCGCGCTATCTCTACGAGAAGGCATGAAGCCTAAACTTGCAAAATCATGGCGACTTTTTGCTATTTCTGGGATGTACTCAATTTGAACCGGATTAACTTCCGTGTTACAACAAAACTACGCTAAGCAAATCAAAAATCATTTCACCCCTAGTCATTAAAACGCCTGCGGGTTATTGGTAATGAAAGACAGTGGAGTAAAAGAAACTGATTTGTTACTGTGGAGAAATGATAATAAAATGAGTAGAATTCAAGACAGTAAAAGATGACAATTTCGACAATATGAGGAAGAAGAAAAGAAGACAAGAATGCTTTTAATTGATGGATTAAAATCGTCGAAGAAGATAATAGATGTTTGTGCTCATATACAAGTGTTGAGCTTTACATTGTTCATACAAAAAGAATGGATTTTTTTTTTGTTTTTTGCTAATACTTTTTTGGCGTAAGATTAAATTGCAAGATGCAGTTTGGGAAAAACTGAAATATCTGTACTATGAAGAAAGAGAAAATAATCTGACGCGTCATCTCAAATATAAAAAAACAAACCCCCAAAAATTCTGGGAGCTTAATAAGTCTAAGGAAAGAACAGATGGAAAGTTTCTGACAATATTTTGTCCGATTTTCTTGGCTTAATTACACAACCCCACAAACATCAGCAAACCTCTAGAATTTTCTGGAAAAAAAATTTAAACTATCAACGAAAACTGATTTTCAGGTTCAAAGCTGAATGCATACGAATGACACACTTCCATATTATGAAGAAAGCTACTATCTCGTATTTACAGCATGGCAACTTTTAACTTTAGCCTGAAATCAACAAAGTGACTTTGAAATTTGCAGCTTCTTGCTTCACCCTCCCCCACCGTCTATCTCTCTCTCAATCCCCTTTTCTCCCAGCTCGTATCTCCTCCACTCCCTATCTCCCCTTTTTATATCTATCTTTCCTCTATGCATTCCCTCCTCAACATCTCTATCTTACACTACCTATCTCCCTCTCCTCTATCTAATTTCTCCCCATCCCCTCTCTCTATATATAATGAAGACAAGATCATAATTTTACAAGCTTCACGAATCTCTTTATCATTCATTGATAGTCATTTGTCTGAGTCAAATATTATCAAAAATAATAATAAGGAATTTTTCTCGATTACGGAGTTAAAAAAAAAATCCGATATCGAAATATATGCATATATCATATGCCCGTATTTGATGAGGATGAAAAAACAGACATTGAAATATACTATGCATTATGCTTGACGAGGATGGAAAATGACACCAAAAGATACACTTTAAGGTCAGACATATTCTTAAAAAGAATTGTCTAGATGACAACAGTAATTGAACACAGATTGTGGATGGACTAAACAGCAAATATTCCCAAATCTCTTAATCCTCAAATTTCACATCACTAATCGATGCGGCTGACAGGCACGTCGAAATCGAGGCTTATCATGGTCCAGGGAAAATCGAGTTCTTTCTGGATTTTTTTCAGTTGGTATGGCTTTTTTAATGCCATATTCTTCACACATTTTGGACTTTGCAAAAGAAGTAAGTTATATTCTTTTCTTATAATCTTTCTTAAGTTACCTCCCTTGATTCTCAACTCGGCTATGTCCAGCGTTTTACAAGAAACGTTTCAGAATGAGAGTTAACGAGATAGGGATACGCAATGAAAGATGGTCAATACAAAAAGAATTGAACCAGTTAATATTTATACTTGCAGATTTTGTTTTGTTTTGTTTTTGTTTGTTGACGATTTTTATCGAATTTTGTTCCGAGTAAAATGTATCGGTCGATCAATTTTACAATTTTAAAAATGTTGGTTCAATATGGGAACATTTCCAGCAAATTTCTCGTTCGTTCGCGTCGGTCATTTCTAGGTTTAACCCTTCGTTAACACTGCGAGGAATTGACATTGCATTGATATTGTGGTTTTTTTTAAACTTACCATTTAAAATATTGTACATAAATCATTTAGTTCTTAATAAAAACAGTAAACAAATACGCAACATATTCGAAATATTCAAGAAATGTTCACGTAACTCAAAGACTCAACAGATACGCCACTTGAACTTTTCGTGGAATATATGTAAAAAAAAAAAACGTTGCGGATATGTAACTACAATTATAATAACTCTAGTTATCTATTTGGCATTTTTTGGTGGCCAGAAGTTTCGCTAGCCTGTCTTGTCATTTTCACGCATTTTTTTGAAGAGGCTATTTTACTGAGACCGGTATAATAGCCTTTTCACCCCCCCACCACCACCACAAAAAAAAACATGCTTTAAAACTTATTTTACTGGTCTTGGTGAAATAGACGCCCATGCTATTGTACCGGTTCCGGTAAAATAGACAAACGTGCTTTTAAACTTATTTTACCGGTTCAAAAAAAAAAGTTACCGGTCCCGGTAAAATAGATAAACATGCATTTAAGCTTATTTTACCGGTCTCAGTAAAATGGACGTCCAGGCTATTGTACCGGTCCCGGTAAAATAGATAAACGTGCTTTTAAACTTATTTTACCGGTCTCGGTAAAAATAACCCAAGCTATTGTACCGGTCTCGGTAAAATCGACAAACATGCTTTAAACCTTCTTTTACCGGTCTCGGTGAAATAGTCTAGGCTATTGTACCGGTCCCGGTGAAAGTAGACAAACATACTTTAAAGCTTATTTTACCAGTCTCAGTGAAATAGTTCAGGCTATTGTGCCGGTTCCAGTAAAATAGACAAACATATTTTAAGCTTATTTTACCGGTCTCAGTAAAAAAAAAAAAGAAAAAAAAAGACGCCCCGGCTATTGTACTGGCCCCGGTAAAATAGATAAACATGCTTTTAAGCTTATTTTACCGGTCTCGGTATAATGGACGCCCAGGCTATTTTACCGGCCCCGGTAAAATTGATAAAGATGCTTTTAAGCTTATTTTACCTGTCTCGTTAAAAATTAACCCTCCCCGGCTATTTTAAAATACCAACACAAATATTTAAACTAACAATACGCTGATTTAATACTATTTAAAATAAGAACACATTGATTTAACGCAGAGGTTTATTTATTTTCACCATCAATTGTTAAGACAATTTAAAATCTGTAGCACCATAAGTTGTTAAAACACAAGTTAAAATCATTTATTCATCATCAATTATTAAAAGAAATATAGAGGTCTCTGAATAATTTAATCACTTCTGGCAAACTGTCTCTGCAAATCCAAAACATTCCCTTGGACATGGTTCACTTGCTATTACACTTCAGGTGCACCCACTGACGACAACAGTCACAAATCACGGAATCCACGTTGTTTAAGTCCTGCCTATACAACTCACACAAGGCTCCATAAACACGTTTGAGCTGCAGCAATTACTCTACTTTCGCTTTTCCACAACTTTACATATCTACAGGCCAAATTGTTTTGGTATCTATTTTACCAGAACCAGCAAATAACTTATTCGTTTTTTTTTCAGTTGTATTATTATTATTTGTGTATATTATGTTTCCTGCTTTATATCCTGCAGAGCCGAGTTCAAATTATCGTCCTTATGCCCTATAGGAGAATTGTCATTTAATTTATAGATCTTCCTAGTGGGGCGATCTTCTGGGCAACTTGTATGTTAATGTTACTTGGGATACTGTTAGTAAAATTGTCCATTTCTTTTCCCACGAGGTCCAGAGCTCTGATTACTATTGGTACAGTGTCAGTCTTCATTCCCCACATCCTGTTAATCTCGATCTCCAAGTCTTTGTATTTGGGCAATTTCTCGATAATTTTTATGGAGGTGTTTCTCTCAGATGGTACTGCTATGTCAATAAGAATACACTTCCTGAATTTCTTGTTTTTTATGATAATATCAGGGTTGTTGGCTTTTATTCCCTTATAGTTTGAATTGGCATGTCCCAGAGGATAGTTACATCGTCATTTTGGGTAACTGTGTCTCTCAGTGGTTTCGATTTTGTGTTTCTTGTATAATTTCAGTGCACATACATCGCTACCTTTTTTTTTTATGTCTGTAGGTATATTCCTTTTTTTTGCTGGTTCTGGACGGTCTGAGATAATATGGTCGACAGTTTCATCATATTATCCACAGATCTTGCATTTCGGTTTAGTTCCATCCTTGATTATGTGACAGTGATAAGATCTGGTTGCGAGATTTTAGTCCTGATCTGCAATAATTAGGACTTCTGTTTCAGCTTTCAACCAAGTGCTCCTCAGTCATTGATGTGTTTTATATTGGTCCACATTTGCTTCTTTCGTTCTTTTTAGGTATTTGCCATGCAATGCTTTGTCCTCCCAGGTTTTTTTTTGCAATTTCATTTGACCAAGTTGTTTTGCTTTCTATTTTACTTATTTGGTATATATGATATTTGTTTCATTTGGTATATATGATATTTGTTTCATTTGGTATATATGGTATTTGTTTCATTTGGTATATATGATATTTGTTTCATTTGGTATATTTGGTTTATTTGGTATATTGATATTTGTTTCATTTGTATATATATATTTGATATTTGTTTCATTTGGTATATATGGTATTTGTTTCATTTGGTATATATATATGGTTTGTATTTTTCATTTGGTATATATGATATTTGTTTCATTTGGTATATATGATATTTGTTTCATTTTGGTATATATTATTTGTTTCATTTATATATGATATTTGGTTTATTTGTATATTTATATATATGATATTTGTTTCATTTGGTATATATGGTATTTGTTTCATTTGGTATATATGGTATTTGTTTCATTTGGTATATATGATATTTGTTTCATTTGGTATATATGGTATTTGTTTCATTTGGTATATATGATATTTGTTTCATTTGGTATATATGATATTTGTTTCATTTGGTATATATGGTATTTGTTTCATTTTTTTGTTGGTAGGGTTTCAGGTATATTTAGTTTCATTTCATTTACAGTATATATTTCTTTCATTTGGTATATATTCATTTGATATGATATTTGTATTTGTTTCATTATATATGATTTGTTTCATTTTATATATATTATTTGGATTTTATATATCATATTTGTTTCATTCATATATATATGATATTTGTTTCATTTGGTATATATGATATTTGTTTCATTTGGTATATATGATATTTGTTTCATTTTGGTATATATGGTATTTGTTTCAGGTGGTATTTGTTGTTCATTTGGTATATATGATATTTATTTCGAACTGAACCTATGATTATTTCATTTGGTATATATGGTATTTGCTCATTTGGGTATTTGAACTCATTTGTTTCATTTGTATATATGGTATTTGTTTCGCTGTATATATGGATCATTTAACCATGGTATTTGTTTCATTTTTTTGTTGGTAGGGTTTCAGGTATATTAGCTGTTTATCCACTGTTTCATGTGTTCTTGAGGACAGTCTACTGTGAGGTGGTTGGAATTTCGAACTGAACCCTTTATTTCGCTCACTCGAATTTTCGCTGGCAACCAATATAAAGGGTTCAGTAAAGGGTTCAGTTCGAAATTCTTTAACAACCTGAAGAAGGCCGGAGCGTACAACGGCCGAAACGTTGTGATAAATATGGCGACAAAGATGAGGACAATAGTCCGAATAATGTAAATAATGCAGTTTCTTTGTGGATTTGGTGTTTTACTTTTTGTATGAGAGGCTCATTGATTTTTGTAAGGTAGCCTTCCATTCTGATTGTTGTAGTTTTTAGAGTTAGTTCAAGTTGGATTAGACCTCGGCCTCCTAAATCTCTTGGTACGTACAGCCTAACAACATCTGATTTCGGATGGTGCATCCTCATTTGGGTAAGCATTTTTCTGGTCTTGGCGTCCAATCTTTTCATGTCATTCAACTTCCATTTTATTATTATTATTATTATTGCCCTTCATTTTTGTTGTATACACATTTCCTTTCGGGTAGCAACGAGACATAAGGTCAGAAATGGCATGACATTTTCCACTGACCATTTTTGTAATAAAAAACAACTATTTATTTACGTCTCTGAATGCGTATCTATCTATCTATCTATCTATCTATCTATCTATCTTATTCTGTTCAAATCTATCTGTGTTTGTTCATATCTATCTATCTATCTATCTATCTATCTATCTATCTATTCTTTGTCTGTTCGTATCTAGATAGCTCGGTGGATATCGACACTATTCTTTCAAATAGAAATTGAACATAAACTAATTTTTATTAATTATTTTTATAATTTTCTCTCATGAAACATTTTCAGCTAGAAGGCTCGCGAATTCAGTTAAGAGTGTGAGGAAATGTCTTGAATAAAATTGATGATTGGAATAAGAAAACTTGGATGTTTCTCAGCAAAAGAATAATCCTCCTGACTCATCTATCTGAAGCTGAAATTTCATGGAGCCATCTTTATTCAGCGGTTCTTTTCGTAGTTGGATATCTCATCTCATTTTCTGAGCTGAAAAATCATTGGCTGCTCTACAGTTGTGACTTTCGGCGACTCCAATAAAATATTTCAGAACATCATTTCAACATAAAATTTCAAAAATAAAATATTTCAGAACATCATTTCAATATTTAATGACTCAAATATCAGTCCAGTTGTTCAAGCTGTATCAGTCATTTGAAAACCTAACCCGTTCCTCGACGACTCAAATATAAATACTTTACTTTTGGTTTGTTCATAACAGGCGTTGGTTATTACCTGACAGTTAATTAAACACATTTCTAATAAAGAAAAGATGTTTTACTAATCATCAACGAACTTAATTTTGCGATAATCCTCTTTGACCGAAAATGATCGATGCAGAAATTAATATAAGGTTTGTTTATTGTTTCCTGTGATTTTTGATTGATTGATACGTTTTCTACGGCGTATCAACCCTTTGCAGGTTTTTTAAAGCTGGAAAAATAGTTTTATATTGTAAGAATTTAGTTTGGAAATAATAATGAGTGAATGTATAAATTATACTAATTAAACCATAACTGGGGAGGGGGGTGTAGACCTGGATCCATAAGTTTTGCGCGTAAGTGAATATGACGAACACAATTGGAACTTGACTCCCATTTAACAATTCCAAGCTGTTATGCATCTATCTATACAAGCTTAAAGCATCTGGTATTCCCAAGGGGTCACCCGTCTGACCAGGCTCGACGTTGCTTAACTTCGGTGATCATACGAGAACCGGAGTTTCAACGTGATATGGCCGTAAGCCTCCTGTGTTTGGAACCTTTCCCTGCCTAAACATTGTGATCATGTTTTTGTCAAAACCGCAAGTTTGCAATAATCCTCTTTGACTGAAAATAATCGATCCAGAAAATAATGAAAAGATTGGTTTCTTGTTTTCCCCGAAAATTGGGAACGGTTTTCTGATCTTTTATTCTTTTTCATGAATCCCATTCTAGGAAATTCTGTCGTCCATGTTTTTTTTTTTTATAGTAAGAATCTATAAGTCAAAATTCCAATGAAGAATAAAATAGAAATAAAGAAAACCTGAGTATACCCGTTAAATAAATCATTTGCATTTACAAACATATGTACATGAATTCAAAAGACTCGCAATAGAACAAAAACAACATTTAGTTGACTTAAAGACTTCGGGTAGTTGGTTTACAGTCAAAAGATTGAGAAAAGACTTTTGAGTCCATAGTCAAAACTGTGTTTGAGAAAAGATTTTTGAGCAATTGATTCACAGATAAAAGCTGTGTTTGAGAAACGACTATGATCGTCAGCGAAGATTCACTGACCGTCCCTCCTGTTTTTGGTGGAGATGATTTGTTTGATGTCGTTGACACATATTTCTTTCAGCACACGCTGGGGAGAAGGAAAAAGCTATGTAGCTACATCTTCTTTTGTGCTTGAACGGCTTGGAGACAGCCGAATTTCTGTTATTTATTGGGGAGTGTAATAGGTCTCGGTAGCTTGTACCTATTGCACTCAACAGATGGGTAAGCCCACGGTACCAATTGGCGAGAATGGGGCTAGCACAATAATCCATTGAAAAAAAAAATGAATATTTTCATTGAAAGCGTTCCCTCGGAGATGACGTCATATGCAAATTATTTGTAAAAGTTTAGCTATGATTACACGCAGATATCTTTCATTATATATAAGTAAGTAAATAATGTAAGTTATTGTACAGTGGAAACCGCTTCGGGATGTGTAAGCGGAGAGACGAGTTTGCAATCCAGTCAGGTTTGTAGCACTCACTTACGTGTATGAATCCACCTCTTCTCCGAGCTGGAAAAACTAAGCCCAAAGGCCTTGGTTGGTAAACCAGCCTACCGCAGAAAGAAACGGTAACCTACTACTGGAAATTCCCGCTCTCACACCTTCACTGTCGAAACTCCTAAATGTAGCCGTCTCTTCTACTCCAATAGCTTCATGTCTCGCACCTCTCGCCTGTGGAACTCCCTTCCCTATTCCAGTTTCCCTGAGAGCTATAATCTCCAGCTATTCAAATGTAATGTCAATCGACATCTCAAGTTGCCTTGATCTATCCACTACCCTTCTCCTCATCCTTTCCTCTATCACTCCTATCTGATCTTGCTCCAAATCTTCTGTAACCCCTTGCGTCCTAGTGGCTTCCCGCCTTGCTTGTGGTGACACGCTTAAAATATATATATATATATATATATATATATATATATATATAGGTCAAGGTCTGGTCACTTCTCCTCCCCCAATATAAAGTATGCTTGAGAGAGATATTAAATTAATCCCTCCCTATACTCTACCATGTCTCTTTAACTATTCCTTTTACACTCTCTGTTAAATTACAAAAACTTACACTACCCATCAATTTTAATTTCATTTTTCGTTTCATTTCATTTTTGGAAATGCTATCTGATGATCCGGCGTCCTTTAAAAGGGCTCTGGTGAAATAAATTATTATAATGGTACCTTAAAGTGGTCTGTTTTTCTTTTATATATATATATATATATATATATATATATATATATATATATATTGGAAAGGACATTGTGTATGTTAATCGTTGTATTCATGTTTAGGAGTAGATAAATATCTTTATTACATGTTGATAAAGTATTCTTTATTATTACCAGCAATACATTTTTGAAAAAATTATTACCAGCAATGCATTTCTTGTCGGCATTAAATAACCACTGAGGTTGATATGCCGTAAAACAAACCAAACCAAATAAGTCAAAATTGACGATAAACAGTCTTTACAGAAAGAGCGCTCAATGTCAGACAGGGATGACCATAAAAACCAAATGAAAAAAATACAATGATTTAACTTACTACCCAAAATCATTGAAGTTCTTTTTTTGCTTATATATATATATATATATATATATATATATATATATATATATATATATATATAATTATTTATTTAAAAATTATAGCATAAATATGTTATAAAATCACTACAAAAATAGCCATTTTGGTTCTATATGTCCAGTGTCTTATCAAGTGATGATGTTGAATGTAAAATAAATGGTTTTAAAAGTTTCAAATTAATTAACGATACTTCGCAAGGGGAAAACGTTGTTACAAAAGCTAGAATGACCAATCAAAATACAAGTATAGGAAAATTCAAAAAGCTTGACAACAAAATAATGTTATAATAGCTATTCAGAGCTTTAAAATTGGGGTTATATTAAAAAAAAGAATTTATTTCAACCAATAAGAATTAAATTATATGATAAAATTTGATATTAAAATTAAAAGTAAAAAATTACCAATTTTAAAAACATCATCACTTGATAAGTCACTGGAGGTGTTGAAAGAAAATGGCTATTCTTGTAGTGGTTTTATAGCATATTTATGTTATCATTTTTAAATAAATAATTATATCTGCTCTACTCTGTATTGAGCACTCTTTTAAGAATAGTAATTGTTGGTTATTGAAATTTATTCCGTATACACCAATCATATACTTGGATATATATATATATATATATATATATATATATATATATATATATATATATATATATACAGGGTTGGTTAATTTTGTAATAAAACTGGACTTGATGCTCGGTTAAATTTAAAATTTGACATTTTTGTAATTTTTAATTTTAGGTTTAACTGTGAAATTAAAACTTTATTGATTTCTTTAATCTAATCTTGACTTTAATGCATTAATTGTCACATTATTTTGAATTAATCTATAATTGTATTCTGATTGGTCGTCATAGGTTACGTAACAATGTTTCCCCTTTGGGATTGGTTGGTTTTTGGACTCTTAAAACCATTTATTATGTGATCAACACCATCACTTAATAAGACACCAGAAGTGTTGAAACAACATTGCAATATTTGTAGTGATGTTATAAACATGCATATGTTATAATTTTGAATATATATATATATATATATATATATATATATATATATATACTTAAAAATCAGGAGGTCAATTAAAATACGCGACCATGGTTTCGACCTAACGGTATCTTCGGGCGGTACTTTTAAAATGACCACTTTAAAACTTTATTTCAAAAGCCACAGAGAACGCTACATAATTATTTTTCAAAATAAATAAATAAATAACAGGCTCTTGACGATTGAAAGGCAGGACATTAAGTGTAATGGAAAGGAAGAGGAAAAGAAGGTTGAATAAATAAAAAGAAAAGAATGGAAAAGAACGGGAATACAGGTGTATTGTAGATGTATACAGTAAAGAGGGAAAGCAAATATCTAATTTAATTGTTATGGAGGGTGGGGAGGCTAGCGTATCTAAAGAGTAACAGTGGGGTTTTAAAGTATTTTTTTAACCGGTTTCATATTCACTTACTGAAAAATATGTCTTTGTGAGGGCAAGGGTGTAAAATTTCGAATTTTTTTATTTATATATAAGATAATGATATATATTTTTATATATCAAGAACAGTATTGGGGATATTTTATGAGAAAGTGGAACAAATTTACTTGTGATGCGTTTCGTCCTTCAGGACTCCATTAGGACTAATTTTGTTATGTTGTTGGTAGGACTACACATGCGCACAATGTGCTGGGAATTTTAGAATTTTTTTTCCCAGCCGAATTCATTGAGAGTCTTTTTCTTTTACAGAAAATACACAGGAGAAACCTCGAAGAACCTAAATATAAACAAAAAAGGAATATTTTAGAAAACAATACACTTAAATGCGTTGGTTGCCCACCGTAACGGGACTGACCGCAACTTTGATGAAAAAAAAATGCTCCCATTATTAAAGGAGAAAATAATTCACTACGACGCAAATCTCTAAAGAGTGTCTTAATCGCAAGGGCCATTTAGAGTAAATTTGCGCTCTGGCGCTTACAACATTTAGCCATTGCTAGCAAATCTTCTAATACCATAGTGTGAAATACCTACTTACAAAAGTGATGGAAAGAAAAAGATTCTAAATGAATTCGACTGAAAAAAACCCTAAAATTCCCAGCACCCTCTGCCATGCGTATGCGTAGTCATACCAACAACAAAATTAGTCAAATGAAATCCTGAAGGACGAAACGTGTCACAAGTAAACATTTTCCACTTTTTCATATATATATATATATATATATATATATATATATATATATATATATATATATATATATATATATCATGTTTATACGTTCTTTTATAGATACAAATATTTAAGTAAATGCTCTGTTTATAATAAAATTAATAACATTTACCGGCCTGAATGTACGAGAAATTTTCATAGAAAATATGTGTCCGCCGTATCAAAAGAACGTATAAACATAAAAAAATGTCTCAAATTATTGTCGGACTTTGTCCATTTCATAATATATAATGTTAAGCGCTCAAGAGTGTTATGTGGTATGTTGACTGCTGACAAGTTGCTTTTCAGCTTGTCTTTGTATCTTAACCAAGGGCGTCCTACTTTCCTGTAGCCCTGATCTAACTGGAACTCCATTAGGATCTTGGGTATCTTGTCATCAAGACATGACCAGTCCACCGTAACTGAGACTGTATGATAAAAGTCTCGATTCCTCCAATATTACACCTGTTAAACAGGTCTACGTTAGATGTCCTATCTTGAAGCTTAACTCCACAGATTGCACGTAGACAGCTTTTATGGAAAACATCTGGCGTATATGGTACCTGTATGGAGTCCACGACTCTGAGCCATACAAAAGGATGGCAAGTATAACAGCTCTGTAAACCCGAATTTTCGTATCCAGTCGAATACCCCGCTCATTCCACAAGCGATGGCGAAGTTTGCCGAAAGCACTGGTATATATATATA